GCACTGGATAAATTTGTTTATTAAACAGAATATTTAAGAGGCTTCTTGCTCGGGTGGCTCCTACGTGGTCTGGGACAGACAACGACCTGGGAAAACCTGGAATAATTCGTTCGAGTTTCCATAGATATATGTTAAAACCACAAAACGCACGCCGATTCGGGTAGTAGCACCGAATAGCTTCCGTTAAAGTTGGCTTCGAAATCAAATTCATTGATCAGCAAACGTCATTTAACCGTTAATTTAGAGATTGGTAGAAGCAAGTGTAGCACCTACCTTTCTAGAGATAAATAGAAATGCGAATAAGTGCTGATATACCCAGGACATGCTTGAGGAAAGGCACATACCTAGATATGTCTCAAGATCTTCCAGTTAAGAAGATAAATAAAGTGCGAATAGACAAATGTCAAGCGACAGAGAATTAGATACCGCTGTTATTTAAGGCTTACTACGATAGAACTGACCTGAGTTGTGAGAAGCATAACGGTGTAGGATGGATCCCGATCAAACTGCTCTAAAACGTCATAACGCTCAGAAAGCTTTTTCAGTCGACCGTCAAGTCGGAGGACACGATGCTTGGGCAGACCGTGACGTTCGTTCGACTTATTTATGTCCAAAATTACAAGTTCGGCCATGTCTAGGAGACGCAGGCTCTGCGAAAACACTAAAGTTCGATGTGCTGGTCGACCGCTTTCCACAGCTTCCACCTGGAACTGCTCGAGTAGACGAGCCAGAAAGCTCAGTTTTCCCGACTCCTGGAGCAATTGTTCACTTGAAGGGACTCGGATCTCGGTAGCGCCACCACGTGCTGGAAGGGCACGAGACACATCAAGACCCAGATTAGCACACTGGTCAGTTGAAAGTAGCCGGGGATGATCGCAGAGCTTTTTTAAGATTGTCAACTCAACCAGAGGCGAGCGTTTTGTGGTGCCAAATAGAAGTTCCTTCACATGGTCCAATTTCAAGAAATCACGATAAATGGACTCTTGTAGACGACTCAAGTATAGCCACACTACAATCTCATTTTTTCGCGGCAACGTTCCTTTTTGACTCCGTCCTTGTGGCTCTGTAGCCGCTTGTTCTGCCGGTGTGTTAAAGAGGACATCTGCTTTTGTCCGCCGAAGAAAGTACGGTTCAATCATTTTGTACAAACTATCTGCCATAAGCTTGCCATGCAAGCGTTCCGCTGAAGTGGCATCCCTTTCTCGCGACCGGGTGATCGGTTTTTCATATTGCGAAAGAAAGGTCTTTTGAGATCCCAAGAGTTGCCCCCGATGGGTGAAGTCATATAGGCTCCAGAGCTCGCGCAAATTATTTTGAACCGCAGTGCCGGTGAGAAGGAGACGATGATTTGAGCCCAGTGCTCGAACCGCCTTAGCAGCTTTAGTTGAGGGGTTCTTGATCTTGTGAGCTTCATCGAGGACTAGGTAATCCCAGGTGAAGGTTTCACCATGGAAGTTCAAATCTGTTGATAAGTTATCGTCCGTAAACTTGCTCCTCCAAGTTCCGATGGCCGTGTTCTGGTTAACGGCCAAGTCCCGCACGCCGGCAGCACACGTGGTGTAGGTGGTTAACAGGATACCTCCGCAGCGCTGTATGCCGGCAAGACCACGCAGTCGCGCAGTTTTTGTGGCCTCGTAGTAAGTAAACACTCGGAGACTGGGTGCCCACTTGGAGAACTCGCTCTGCCAAGTGTTTAGCACGCTTACTGGCGCAAGTACCATTGCGGTTCTGCGTTTGCGAAGAGACTCCTCCGAATTTAAGTAGCCAGCCAGAAATGCGATAGTCTGAATCCAAAAAAGAACTATGAAAGAATGCAGGACGATGGAGAAGGTGCATTGTAAACTAGAAGTGTTAAAGCACGCTCACCTGGAAGGTTTTTCCCAAACCCATATCATCCGCCAAAATGCCACCGCAAGATTTTTTGTGTAATTTCCAGAGCCAGGCGACGCCTTCACGTTGGTAGGAGTAGAGTTTTTCGTATATAGTTTTTGGCAAACAAAAACCAGGTAATAGCTCCATATCGCTGACTGACTTTGACCGATCCTCTTGAATTGAAAGATTAATTGTTTTATCAGCAAGTTTATCAAGATGATTACTACGGTGTATGTTCTTCTTTGGCTCATCTTCACCAGATTCTGACGAGGCTGAAGACTCCGAAGTTTGATCCTCAGCCTCATCCTCTTGAGCACGCTGCTTAAGCAGAGTATTTAAGCGGTCGATTCTCCTTTGCAATTTGTCCGTGGGACATAATGAGTAGGCCTTTTCGAGTTTTACCAGGGCGGCGGATAGATTTCCTGCAAGAAACAGGCATCGAGCTTTTTCTTCCAAAAGCTGGGCATCTGCGACTGCGTTAGATGGTGGCGGGGTTTTCGAATTATTTTCTTTCTCTTCGGCTAAAATAGCCTCTAGGCGCTTGACTTTGCGGAGGACTTTTGGATCCTGAGTGATTTTATATGCGGCTTGTACCAATCGAAGGGACTCTTCTGTCTTGCCTTCTTCAAAAAGGGTGCGGGCCGTCGAAAGCATACTACTGGGGCTCGTCATGATCTGCACGTAAAAGGCATTGTAAGTATTATAGTGGTGGGAGATCTAGTATTGATGGCGTCAAGGCAAAGAACAAATACTATGAAAGAGGCATGCTAATGCCGAGATTGAGACATACACACGGATTAAGAGGAATTTCCCGCAATTATACAGGAGACGTAGGACAGGTGTACGTGGATCAGTAAGAAGAGATGACAATTCCGATTTTCGTTTATCGTTTTTTAATTACCGGGACACATTTATAGACCCACAAAATGTCCAAAAGCGTCGAAATCAGAAAAAAACAGACTTCAGGAGTTTGCAGTCCAACCGAACAGAAAGTCATTTTTGATGTCCGGAGCTGGACACTGACCGCGCTAAGTTAACGCGTGCTGACCGATCTACTGCAGAATGCATTAATAAGCCTAGACTCGTAGAGTGCGACTGAGTGTGTTAGAGGAAATTTGCCGCGAACAAGAGCAATCAGTAAAGAGCTCTAGGAAGCAGAAACTTCCGTTTCTGAGAAATTTAAAAAGTAAGAAATAGCAACATGTCAAAGGAGGGAGAAAGGTGCGTTTTCTTTACTGACTCGGAAGTGTGTTAATTTACTTCAATTAATAGGAAAAAAACACACCAAAGATGAACACGAAATGAAATTTTGCGGTAAAAACGGGAAAACTTCACAAATACGATGGAATAACGGTTCGTTAGTAAGCACCTAATGAAGGAAATGCACTAAATACAGAATACACCTAAAGTGGAGTTCGTGAAAAGAATATACGTAAAAAACCGAGAAGTATTTGCTAATCGGCATGTGCATGGTAAAAAAAACTAGACCTTATTTTAGAAGTGATGTAGAAAATTGAACCATAGATCGACCTAGTCCTACTAATTAAATCTTGCGCCGTACAAAACCCCCAGCAATAAATCCGATCAGCACTCTAAAAATTCCTCTGCAAGTTGACTGGTACTGCATGCTAAACCCGATTATTCAGGTAAAAATTCGTTGAATGACCCTAAAAGCAAAACCAATAGGGTTATAAAGATACTATCTAAAAATATGTGTTGGCAGACCAGTTGGTTTCCTTTTGTGATGGAGGAACCAATAAGGAAACAGCAGAGCTAATCGGGACGAAAACGCGGCTACGACAATTATGCCCAGCTAGTGTCACGTTTAGCGTTGGAGTCAAAAAGTGGATTAAGTCTGGGGCTAGACAGCGATGGAATAGCGTTATGTCCTCCAACAGCGGAGTCTTTATTTATTTCAAGATTATGTTTGGCAGCGCGAATAGGAACACTGGTAAACAATTTTAGTGAGGTGACGATGTGTTTCTGTATATTTTCATTCTCCCAGCACATGCGACAGTGCAAAGTTAATCTTTCTGCAGTTTTCATTTGTTCCTAACAATACATTAGAATCGTAAAAGTCTTGAGCGTGCATCTTAAGAAAGCAACGGCTCAGTTTGTTCGAGAGTGTAAAAGTTAATTCCGAGTGCAGTCATTGATTCATACTAAACTCAACAAATGAAAACCACCTGACGCCGCCTGAAAGGAAAACATAAAGCCAATTATTGGACAAGGGAAATATGATAATTAAATAGGACAGTTTACGTTGCGTCGAGATACTTATATAAAATCAACACTTTATACCGCTCGGGCGATCCGAGAGATCTTTGATGTATGTCAGCTACTTGAGGGCAAAATGTAACATCAAGAAAAAAAATGAGAAAGAAAGCAATATATTCAGGCGTTTAGTTCCTATGTCCCAATATAAACATCCTGAAATATTACTAAGTAAAACCGCCTCTAGCCTTGATGCGGTCTGAACCGACAACACGCGTTAGTAAAACGACACTTATATAGGCCATAACGTTCTGGAAGACAGCCTACGAAGAGTGCCGTTAGTGAACATACTTGTTCCTCTCACCTAGACAGCCCCTAGTATGTAGAAGACAAGACGATTTAAATCCGCAGATAAATTGTTCTGATATCTGAGACCAGCTGGCAGGAGTAATATGATCGTTAACAATGGGGACAAACCACTTTTTGGTTAAATAAACTGAGTGGTAACACACCTCCCACTTCATCTGATCCAACTCCAGACCGTGGGTTGGCTACTAGATCTACGGCACCTCCGAGGGCGAGACCGACAAACCT